AATCAGATATGAGTCAGATGGGTCAAAAAAATCGGATTTGGGTCGGATTTGCCTGCAGTGTGAACGTAGCCTAAAAGTAGAATGGGAGGCAGAGCTTTCAGTTATCAAGCTCCTCTCTTGTGGAACCAACTTCCAGTTTCTGTCTGTGAGGCTGACACTCTGTCTACTTTGCAGATTAGACTGAAGATTTTCCTTTTTGATAAATCGTATAGTTAGACTTAGGTTTCCTGAATTATTCTTCATTTCTGCTGCTATAGACTTAGACTGCTGGAGCACAAACTGACTACATTTCCTCACTCTGCTGTTGTCTTTAGTCTCTGTCCTCTACATGTTTGTTATAATTATTTCTATCAATAACATGTGTTTGGACCAGTCCTGTGTTTGTCTGTGTCTCTTTCCTGTCCCAAACCAGCCGGTTGAGGCAGATGGCTGCCTTCCCTGAGCCTGGTTCTGCTGGAAGTTTCTTCCTGTTAATGGGGAGTTTTCCTCTCTTCTGCTGCCGGTGTGCTGCTCAGGATGGGAGACTGTGATGAAGCAAAGATTTGGCACAGTCTGCTGGCTTCTTTAGATTTATTGTTTTTTTGTGTACAGTGCCCTTAGACAACAGTTGTTGTGACTTGGGACTACATAAATAAACTGAATTGACTTGAATAGATGCAGCCTCCTGCTACAAGGACGTAGCCACTGCTGGATTCACAATAGTCTTAATTTTGACACTCATACTGCTCCATACAATCAGGTCCTGGGTGAACAAAGACCGCCTCCAGTTCTGTTAGCCTGCAGGTAGCTGGTGAAGGTTCGATGATCCGCTGTGGCAACCCCCGATAAGAGATAAGCCGAAAGACAAAAAAAAAAAAAAAAGAATCTGGTCAAACCAACCCAACCTGTGATCCGACACAGAATAACCCAACAGTTTTTAGCGCGTACGTGTTTAATTTTATGCTGTTGTTTGAAAACAATTCAAAGAAATTTAAGCGCACGACTCAGCTTTGTTCATTCATTCCACTCAGTTTAGATCAGTCAGTAAAACATTGTTAATAAAATAAAATAAAATCGCTGAAGTAAATCTTAGTTGTTCATGTGTAGGGTGCCCCTTTTGAACAGGATATGAACAGGAAGCAGAAATGGAGCTCCAAGCATGAGTGATTCTTTTTGCAGAGCTGAAACACACACACACACACACACACACACATGCAGATCTGTGGGAGCAAAGTTTAAACTGAAACTTGCTCTGAAAAACCCCGAACTGCAGTTTTATCTGCTACAAGCTGCACATGTGCAAGCAACGAAACGTGCCTGAGACACACACACGCTCGTCAGTTTAATTTCAGCTGCAGGCTACGTGCTTATGTGCACTGTCAGACCTATAGATCTTTCTTTGACACAAGCACTCACCCAACAGGAAACAAAAAAGGTTTATTCAAATGAGCTGTGAAAAGCTGTTTGAGAGGAGAGGAAGGTGTGAGATGGGTGGAGGGAGGATCTGTAGAAACAAACAGGAAGGTGTGTTTTTTTTTTAACAGAGGGCGAACGGGTCAGACAGAAGAGCCTTCCCTCCTCCGAGCATTTATCTGATGAAGATGAGTGTGTGAGGTTGCCGTGTGTGCGCATGTGTGTGTGTGTGTGTGTGTATGTATGTACGTGACATGCCTCAGGAGGATTATTAAACGCACAACCTTCTTCAAATATGGCTTTCCAACAGAGGGCAGCTCTGGATATCTCCACCAAGGACCCTCAGGATGACTTTGAGATCCTGCTGAGAGTCGGAGGAGGAACTTACGGAGAGGTTTACAAGGTCAGAGCTGAACCAGACGCTTCTAATGCCCGACAGAATCCCGCCGCTCGTTACAAAACTGTAGCAGCATCTTCAAAGCGCTGCATGTAATTTTATATTTTATTTGGTTCTCTGTAATCTGGAGCTTAGAGGCGCTCGCTCTGTTAGAGGAAGTGGTTTGACAAGAAGTGAAAGTATTCATGTGAAGAACAAGTTTGATCGTTTTACTCTCAACGGAAGGAGAAGTTGGTTTTTATAGTGGACTGAAATAAGTTTGTGTACAAAGTTTTAACTTTTTATTTTGTTTTAAATGAGCTTTGAAAGTATTTATTTTTTAATTTGCCACCTCCGATTGTATTTGTTTTGTATTACAGTTTGTAGCAGAGGTTAAACCTCAACATTTCAGCTGCTTTGGTAAATTGACCAAGTTTGGGATTAAAATGCTCTTTTTTTGTTTCATTCTGATTTTAACATTTTAGTAAAGTTAATTTTTTTTTTCGGAGCTTCAGACAGCAGCTGGTTGGTTTGATTTTTAACCTTTAGTAGAAATGATGCTTAATGTCAAATTTATTCGGCACTGCAGATTTGGTTCCCATTTCTGAGTTTTTGACATTTGTTCAAGTTTTACATCATAACTAGGACGTTTTAGTCATGGACTAAAGTTAGAATATCATTCCAACACTAAATAAAAAAATAAAAGTCTAGAATTATTCGAAGCATCACCCACCACCTTTCATGATCATTTTATATTTAAAAACCTAATTTATTAGCTCTCAGACCGTTGGGAATGACTCTCGGCTACTACCACAAATCTTAGCTCAACATCTGTAAAACTGACAGTTATAACTGTTTTTTGTGTTAAAGTCAGTCAGTTGTGGCGGCCATTTTGAGTTGTCAAAGGTTAGTTTTAGATCTGGTGTTTGAGAGTTTTGTCCATTAGTTCATGAGATATTTTGCTAACAGACAAATAGAAACAGGAGAAACGTCCTTGGCCACAATATGAGGAGAGTTTGTCGTAGAATTGGTCGTTTAGATCCAGTGGGTTCTGGTTTTGGTCCTGATCCATAGACGGTGTAGATTATATCTGGGGGTCTTCGAGTCAAAACATCACGTCTGAACGTTGGATTACCACCTCATAATCCATCCATCCTTCAGCTGCTTCTCCTCTCCAGTGAGGGACACCCTGGACATGTCCCAGTCCATCACAGGGACACGTGGAGACAACCGAGACAACCAGTCTTCCTATTTTGAGGAACCAGTGAACCTGTTTGTTTTTTCGGGGTGGCTGTGGTGTAGTGGTAGAGCAGCCGTGAATGGGTAAATGTCTGTAAGTGTAAAGAGCTTTGAGTGTCCTGGATGGATCGAAAGGCGCTAAATAAGTGCAGTCCATTTACCATTTACCATTTTTCTGTGGGAGGAACCCTGGAGCAAACCAAGCGTGCTCAGGAAGGACATGTAAACTCCACACAGGCTGGCAAACGGGCAACCTCGCTGTGAGGCCTCACGGACTATTTCAACCCAGGAGCCAGGACTTTAAAAACTCATCTGCATTAAGGAAACTCCAACACAGGTGACTCTTTACAGCTGTGTTCGCTCTCTCTGTAAAAACCAGAAATACCGGTACTGTTTGGGTCTCAAAGTCATGAGCTGGTAGAAGTCTCTGGACCTGGAATTTCTTTACCTGCTTCAGAGAACTGGAGAGAGGAAATCTTCCCATGACTCCCCACCGTCCTCTGAGGACTGCAGATCTTCAGAACCCCTCCAGAAACCCGATACTGATCCACATGAGTCCAGTGAAACAGACATTAAAACCAGCTTTAGGATGAAGTTTGTGAATGATTCAGAGAAGAGAGGTCTGCAGGTGATCAGGCTTAAAGTTTTAATAATGAAAATGCTTAGTCAGCATTTCCTATTTACACTTTGTTAGTTTTTTGTATGTGTGGTTTAGCTTTTTATTATAAATCAATACTAAGGGTGTTTTCAGACCTGACAATTTGCTCCGCTTTAAACGAACCAGAGTTAGTTTCCAGCGTTGGTCCGGACCTTTTGTGCAGGTGTGAATACACACATGCGAACTCTGGTGCGGATCAAACAACTGGACCGAGACCTGCTTTTTGAGGTGGTCTCGGTCCGCTTCCAAACGAACTCTGGTACGGTTCACTTCAGTTAGCTTCTGGTGTGAATACAGACTGGACTCTAACCGAACTAACTGCATTAAACATGCATCTTTTTTGGACTTCACAGGCCACCATTGCTGAGCTAAATAGACTGAAATCATACCTGTTTTGTCATCTCCTGTAGCATGTTGTGGGTCAGAACACGCAGAGCACCTCGTCTCATTTGGGTTGGGGGACACATTTACTGACGCCGCTCCAAATTTAGAATATCATCATGAAATCACCATTAAATTAACTGCTTCTGACATTTTAAATGCTATTGCAGTTGTACTATTAGCAAAAATGTGTGCATCAGAACTGCAGCATGCAGGACTTCCTTGTTTTCTTCTGGATCTGTGGCTCAGTCCCCCGTCTTTTCTGTCCAGTGGGAGCAATGATCGTCAGCCTCATGGCTTTGTTTACAAGTTATAGTTCGTTTGCAAAAAAGCACAATGTGAATGCAAACCTCATCAAACAAAAAAAAATAAAGTCCACTTTTGGTCCGGACCAAACAAGTGGACCAAAGGACTTTCCTGGTCTGAACCCTTAGACTTTTTTCTCAAAAATTCATCAAAATCACCTCAAACTCTTTTGTAGGACTTTGCTTTTTAAAATCTTTTTCAGCACATTTGCTTCATTTTTACCTTTTCAATACCACTTTGCTAAAATTAACTTTTAGTTATTGTTTTACTGGTTGAGGTTTTAGCTACTGTCCTAATAATTGTACCTTTTATTGTTTTGTTATGTTTAGCTTTTTACATGCTATCTTGATAGTTTTACATTTTTTAGCTACTGTTCTGCTGATTTTAGCTATGAGCTACTGTTTTGCTAGTTTTAAGTTTTAGCTATATTTTTGCAAATTTACTAGCATATAGTTAATTTAAGATTTAGCTACTGTTGATCTTGTTTTAGCTTAGTGTAATTTTGCTAAGTTTAGGTTTTAGGTACTGTTTTGCTGGTTGTGATTTTTTGGCTATTGTTCTGATGATGTAGCAACTGTTCTGTGAATTTTCTTCTGTTTTGCTAATCTTGACTTTCAGTTAACATTTAGCTAATTCTAGGTATTTGCTACAGTTCTGCTGATTTTTGCTATGTGCTGTTTTACAAATCTTAACTTTGAGCTACCATTTTGTTACATTAGCTTTAAGCTAACATTTATCTTATTTTAGGCATTAGCTACTGCTTTTCCGGTTTTAGTTTTTATCTGTTGTTTTGCTAGTTTGGTGTTTTGCTGTTGTTTTACAAATGTTAGCTTTTAAATACTTTTGCTGATGTTTTTTTAACTACTGTTCTGTTGTAGCTATTAGCTACTGTTTTGATGATGAAGCTTTTAGCTAACATTAGTTGCCTTTCTGGTTTTAGCTTTTAGCTGCTGTTCTGTTTTTTGTCTTTTATTGTTTTTGTTTTGATTTGTTTTTTAACAAAGTTAAACAGGAAAAAATAAAAATGTGGTTGTTGCTGCAGAGAACTGAAGCTGCAGCTAGTTTTCTCTCCTTCGATTCTATATTTGGTTCTCAGAGGAACTCACGCGAGATGTTTTGGTGAAACGAGGACATTTTATTTGTTTTGGGTCTTTGTGTGAAAACAGTTCATGAACCAGAGAGAAGTTCTTCTCCCTCCTGGCTGCACGTGGAGACCTGGGTCACGTCACTCGTCTGTCAAATTGTAAACGACTCTCAGCACATTTTAACTGAGTATCTGTAAAGTTTTACATTGAACGCGCTGTAATCTGTGTGGATTATCAGCTGCAGAGAACTCACTTCCTCTCAGCAGGACCGCTGACCTGATTGTTCTGGTTCTGTATTGAGACAGATTTGCCTACTTAGCTGTCCTGCTCAGATGGACACAGATATGATAGTACACACACACATCCTTGTATTTGCATCAAACTGAGGACTTTGTATTGACTTCCATTCATTTTTGTAACTGTATTTATGCCCAACCCAGACATTTTCCCTGAAATTAACCATTACTGGTCTATAGTTAACTCTAACCTGAACCATAACTTAACTCACACCATACCTCTAAACCTAACTAGTAAAACTAACCATTACTGGTCTATAGTTAACTCTAACCTGAACCACAACTTAATTCACACCATACCTCTAAACCTAACTAGTAAAGAGCAGCAAATAAAGTGAGGACGTTGAAGAGGTCCTCACTTTACATCAATGACCTCACTTTGATAGTAAATATGGCACAAATGGTCAAAACAATTACACACACACACACACACACACACACACACACACACACACACACACTATGTGTTGTTTCACACGCTGTACCGCAGGTCAACATAACAACAGAAAATCCAACAATGAACATGATCGAGGTGTTGATAGTTGTTTTGGACTAATATTTTTGTTAACTGAACTGCAACTTCTTTTATTATCATTATTAAATTTGCTTATTTAACTCGTATTTCTGAAAATTTGAATTAAATGTGGACACAGTGTAAAAGTTTTAAACCAGTCCCATTTTTGTTGCGCTCTCCTTGGAAAGAAACTATGAAGAAAAGAGAGGGTTAAAAACATCCAGTTGTTTGTGAGATATTTTGCTAACAAACAGGTTTGATGCTAAGTATAGATGTATTCTGGTTTGTTGTGGATGAGCCTCAGCTAGTACCACACCAAAATTCATCTCAGGATCTGTCAGGACTTGCAGCCATTGTGGCAGCGGCCATCTTGAATTACATTAAATGATCATTTCCCTGAAGGTTTCCTTAAAACATGTCCAGTGTTTCATGAGATATTTTGCTGACAGACTCCCACAAAAGGATTAAAAAATGTCTTTTTAAGGCAGTCTAGAAATATGACTCTAAAAAAGTTAAGAAGTTTTAAACACTACACTGACTTGCTGTAC